GGAACAGTTTGTTTGATGGCTATTGAAGGATCAAGGAGGACTGGGAGGAGGATGGAGCTCAGAGAAAAGGCAAACGGGAGGCTCAATCATGATGCAGCACTGGGTGACTGAAGAGGAATGCTATTCTATTCAGCAACAGAACCTGCCTCTGAGCCCTGACCACGCTGGGTGAATGAAGCATTTAGGAGAGGTCTCTGGTTTGGCAGAACCCCTCGCTCCCCGGCCAAGTGCCTCGGGATCATGTTAACTCTCCAGTACCAGCCAGGATGGACACTGGCATGAGCTCATTTAAAGGGATGGCCAGAGCCCCGAGACTGCCTTCTCTCCTTGTTTTACTTTTGGAAGCAGGTGGGAGGAAGGTGCTGTGAGGCGGAGCAGGTCCTCCACACAGTGGAAAGAAACGTCATCAACTTGTCCTGTGACCCCGGGCAACTCTTCCTTTCTGTAGGCCTCTGTTTTCCCCACGGCAGATATTGACAATCAATCATATCACCCTTTAGAATCCTCAACATATCCTAATAGCCAGTAGCAACTGCTTAGACTTGGCCCACAAGATGAAATCTACTTGCCATCTTGAGATTAAAACCAAAACCAAAACCAAACCCACTGCCATCAAGTCGATTCTGACTCATAGCGACCAAGTAAGGCGAAGTAGAACTGCCCCATAGAGTTTCGAACACCATAAATCTTTACCGAAGCAGACTGCCACATCTTTCTCCCGCAGAGCAGCTGGTAGGATCAAACCGCCGACCTTTCAGTTAGCAGCCAAGTGTTTAACCGCTGCGCCACTAGGGCTCCCATCTTGAGATTAGATGAGTTCAATTCTAATATGGATTTGTTTTTCTTTTTTTTAATGCCTTTCCTTTCTGGAGCTGAAGCCAGTTCCCTCTGAGTTCAATCCCTGGTAGAAACCATATCCCCAAGGGGAGCCTGCCGCTAAGGATGTGAGTCCTGGAGCTGAAGCCAGTTCCCTCTGAGTCCAATCCTTGGCAGAAACCACATCCCCAAGGGGAGCCCGCCTCTAAGGATATGAGATGAGCAGACATGGCCAGCAGGGAGCGCTCTGGCCCTGCTTTGGATGGACTCCAAAATGGAAGCTCCACTGTGTCACTGTGACTTCGACATCTTTTTAACGAGGGTCTTCTAAGGCAGGCCACTCAAAAGTTTCACAAGATACTCAAAGTCCCTGAATCCTAGAGAGGCTGCACTAGAAGGAGTTCCAGGGACTGGACCAGTTCTCCGATGTTAAAAAAAAAAGTAGTAGTAAAACCAAACTGGTTGACATAGAATAGATTCTGACTCATAGTGACCTTACAGGACAGAATAGAACTGCCCCATAGGGTTTCTAAGGAGCGGCTGGTTGATTTGAAGTGCCAATCTTTTGGTTAGCAGCCATTGCTCTTAAGCACTATGCCACCAGGGCTCCAAAACTGAGGCCCAATTAGAACCCAAGCCTTCTGACACCTCTTCCAGTGCCAACTTTCTTCCCTCTTCCATCCTGTCCCTAGACTACACTGCCTTATTTCCTAGACTTAGGAATAAAGCAGAAATTATTCCATGCCTTCCCCTTGGAGCAGTACTTTCTATTACTACTGCTAATAATAGCTAATCGTTCATTAAGCACAATGTTGAGTACTTTACATACAGCATTTTACTGAATCCTCACACAACCCCATAAACTTGCAATTATGGGAACAGAGGCATAGAGAGGTCAAGTAACTTGCCCAGAGTACCAAAGCTATGAAGTCGTAGAGCCTGGATTCACTCCCAACCGAAGGGTCCAGAGCCATCCACCTCACACAACACATTCCCCCTTCCTCTGCACATTTCAATTCCCACCTTCATGAGGTGGCCAGGACAGGGACCACGACTCATCTCACTAAAGAAGACACTAATGCACAGTGAGGCCAAGGACCCTGCTGCTGAGCAGGAGCTGAGCTGGAAAGCAGCATCGGTAGCTGGCATGAGGCTCGGGGGTCCTGGAGGCTCTCACTGTGCAGGCAGCTGGCCCAGGGAGGACTCCCAACATTTCCCTGGCCTGGCTGCTCAAGGCTTTCTCCATCTAATCTTGACAACTGGCTCCGTCCCCAGACTCAGATTCAACTCCCATTCACTGCCATCTATCTCTGGTGAAGGGCATAAAGAGCTCCTGGGTCCAATGAGTCTTGAAACACACACACACACACACCAAACAGAGCAGGGCATGTCTTCTCTCTGTTAACTAAGAAACACACTAGTGGTTAACACACTCTGAGGCCTCAGGAGCAGATACTGATGGTCAGAGGTCAGACATGGGCCCCTGAAGACTCAATCTCTCGTTCAGCACTGGGGTGGTCATTAGTTTTATTTTTTAAATGCTTCTGGCTTGCCCCTTTCTATCACATGGGAGGATGGCATTTCCTGGCCTCCTTGAGGTTGAGTGGGGCCAAGGCACTAGTTATGGCAGTGACTGTGAGTGGATTAACACCTCTCACTTGTGGGTGGCAGCGGTTAACGGCCAGTGTGAATCCTCCAGGGCCTTCTTTCCCTCTGTCACTTGGCTGACAACATTCTATGTAATGGTTGCGTTTAGCCTGGGTCCAAAGCAAAGCAGCGCCCCCAGCTGACCCACAAAGGACATATAGTGTGAGTAAATAAAAAACTTCTGTGGTTTTGAGCTACCAAGATTTTTAGGATCTCCTGTTACTGCAGCATCACCTAGCCCCAACCTGACAGTAATAACACTAATATCTACTTTATTTCCTAGAAGCCAGTACCTTACTAGGTATTGTGGAGTGGGGAGCAGAGACAGATAATCAGACAGGTCCCGGGCCTCTAGGAGCTCACAATCTCAGGGCAGAGATAAGCACAGGCAGGGTCCCTCTAATCTAAAGCAGACAATGGGCAGTGTCTCATGTGAAGGGCAGGGCAGAAACAGACCATTTCTGACTAGAAGAGATCAAGGAAGGCTTCTGGGAAGAGGTGGCACAGAGCTGGCCTTGAAGGATGGGTTAGAGATGGTCAAAAGCATTCCAGGAAGAGGAAGCGGCATGAGCAAAGGGCAGAAAATAGAGGGTGTGTTGCAGAAGAGCAAACTGTACTGGAATGAAAGGACTGAGAAGATCAGAAGCCAGAAACGGGGCTGGAAGCTGGATCCAGGTTATGGAGGATCTTGATGCCATGGGAAGCAGTCTGGCTTTGACCCTAGAGACAATGGGGAGCCGCAAGGCTTACAGGCAGGGACACGCATGGTCAGTGTTTCATTTTTGCCAAGGCTGCCGGCAGCGACCATGGGCGAGAGCAGGGAGACACAGACAGGGCGACAGGGCTGTTAGTGGGATGCTGCAATGATCTTGGGGGTGACAGTAGCTGCACCAAGTGGAGGAACTGCTGGAAAGGGGGAGCACAAGGCTGATTCCCAGAGGTTGGGAAGAAAAGGCAACAGGACTTGGGTCCAAACTTGAAGAAACACACACACGGGGACTCTTCCCACGAGGCCCCACGCACCACACACAGGATGGGGGCCGGAAGATGGGGGCGTTTGGAAGTCAGGAGGAGGCGAGCCAGAGCTGGACAAGGAGGGCAGGAGGAGAGGAGGCAGGCAGTGGCACTTCAGGGCATGAGGGGTCTAAGAACAGAATGAGCACGGGGAATGTGGAAGAGGGTCCAATGACCAAGGAAATCTGGGCTGGACTAGACAAGACCTCAATGCCAGGCTGAGGAAGGTGGACTTTATTTTAAAGGCCAGAGTCTGCAACTTGGGGCCCATGGAATGAATCTGACCCACAGACATGCTTTGCTTGGCAGACTTAAAAATCTGAATTGCTTGCCAGCAGTTCAAGGTAAGAGAATTCACATTATGTTTTTCACTTTGGGCCTGTGATTTTTCTAGAGGTCTGGCAGCACCAATCCCCACTTGATGGCAACCATCTCAGCAGCTGCCCTCCATACACGGGGAGCGAGTTCCTCAGCTTCACTCAATTCCATTTATGCTAAATAAGCATATCGCAGTCTTCATTATTCGCGGATTCCATATTTGTGAATTCACCTATTTGCTAAAAATACTCGGGGTGCTTGCGCAGTGATTCACAAATTCGTTCGTGTGCAGAGCAGTAAAAAAATCACCAGCTGCAGTTGAACAAGAATTCACTAACTCAGGGTTCGCGGGGACTTTATAGAACATATCTATTCAATAGAACATAACTATCGAATAACAAGAATCAAATGGATTTGCTAGGTCCTTGTGGGCATTTGCGTTTGTGAATATAACAGTAGTGTAGGGATTCCGAGGGGTATCCCCAGGCTTAGGGTGGAAAAGCTGTGTATATTGTTTGTGTAGGGGTGGAGGGAGTGAGGGGGGTGGAGAATAATTCCTAAGAAGCTAGTTTCCACAGAGCCCCCCAGAACCTGGCCCAAACCACAAGAGGCAGGGGAAGGCACCAATCTGTCCTGGTCCAATCCTACCTGGGTATCTGCTCCATGTAGGACCTGTGCCGGGAGATGCTCCCAGAGCCCACAATCAAGCTGAGGAGGGAGAAAAGCATTCAGGACACAAGGGGACAGCTCTGGCTTTAGATAGGGAGGATATTCCTCCCCACCAGCCAGCAACAGAAGGGGATGGCTTAGGGATGGAGAACTCCTGTCACTGGAGGCATTTGAGCAGAGGCTGGCTGTGCTAAGTGGTAAGGGCTGTGCTAGACCCACCTGTGGCAGGGGAGCCCCAAGGCATGAGGGACTCACTGGGCCTGCAGAAGGTTGGAGGAATCTGGCTTGAACAAGGTCTCGATGAACAGGTAGGGCTTTGCTGGATCAGGCAGAAAGAAGAAGAGCTCTCCACACTAGAACTGTGTAAGCAAAGGAAGTCTGAAGAGCTCAGATCTTACCCCAGGACAGAGGTGAGCCACTGAAGGGTCTTTCAGCCAGGAAGGGGGCAGAGATCACAGGTCCTCTTTCTCCCCCAGGTCTCTGGCCCCACATTGCTGGCCTGATCCTGGCCCTGGCCCTTGTGGATGAGCACTCACCGAGGGTCTGCTGGTTGCGGACGCCGCCGATCACCACGCAGATCTCGGCGGGCACGTCCCCGGTCCCATCCTTGCTGACTGACTTCTTGTCCTCCTTGGCCTCACCCTGCCAGATCACCTCCTGGATGTAGTCATCGGGTAGCTCCGTCTTCACCTTCACCTCCGTCATCGTTCCCTGCTCGGCACTCAGCGAGGCCTCAGCCGGCACGGACTCTGAACCCTCCACCTTGGTGGTCTTCTGGCTGCGCTTCAAGCGCTCCCTGGGAAAGAAGAGGGTCTGCTCAGTGTGGATCCCATACCGGCCCCCAGACCAACCTGGGAGCCCACCAGCCCAGGGAGTTACAAAACGTTTAGCCACAGATCTACCACTCAAATGAACTTCACCTTGATGCCCAGGGCACCAAAGAAATATGCAAGACCGTGTGAGTAGAGAAGGGTGGGTCCCTAGCACACTCAGCCTTCCACATAGGCCCCCTGAGGCTCCTCCAGGAAACCCTGGCTCCAAGGGACACAGCTGGAAAACCACTGGGCTAGCAATGCCTCTAACTCTACCCATTTTACAAATAGGAAAGCTGAGGCCTAAAGAGGTCTAGATGTGCCCACCTGCCTCACCTACCACCTATTTATGTGTAGTTATCACAACTAGAGTTACAAGAGACCTAAAAGGGCAGCTCTGGATGGTTTAAATCGGTTCCTCCCAAACTTCAATGTGCACATCCATCAGCTGGGCATCTTGATAAAAAGCAGATTCTGATTCTGTAGCCTGGGGTGGGGCCCTATATTCTGCATTTCTAATAAGCTCCCAGGTGAGGCTGATGCTGCTGTTCCTCAAACCACACTGCAAGCAGCAAGGGTTTAAATGATTTGATGAATGCAAAGCAGCTAGCGCTTGTCTTCTTTCCTTTGCTCCTTGGCAGAAAGGCTAGAAAGCTCATCCAAGCCCTTCCCTGCTCCTATCTCACAGATGGGGAAGCTACAGTCCAAAAAGACTCACTTGAGATGTAACAGAGTCAACATTTCTGCCCCCAACACTTTGGACTAGGGGCTCTTTAAACATCAAGAAACATCCTCAAGGGAGACAGCTTAGTATTAAGGTGGGCAGGACATCTATTCCTGAACTTCCTGTATAAGGGGGAAGGTTGAAGCCTATAGAAGAATTGTGACTTGCCATGGGCCACACAAAACATCAATGGCAGGGACAAGGCACGAAGCCAGATCTCCTGCCACCTACTCCTGAACCATTCTCTGTGTTCTCGTAGGGCCCCCTTGTCCTTCTGGCAGAGGGGACTGCCATCATGACTCTGTGGTGGGGAAGCCAATGTGTGCAAACTAGGACTTCGAACTGGTTCAGCCACGGCCAGCAAAGAGAAACTGGAACAGAACTGAATTTTTATAATTTGCACGATCTGGAACGATACCCAGAATGGGAAAAATTATGGGTTGAAGCTCTGGAATGGGAGAGTTGGAAGAGGCGTAGTGAGCCCCTTCAGGAACCTGATGTGTAGGATTGGATCATTGGCAGAACTGTGGAGAGTGACACATGTTCAAAGCAGTCGGGTCGGCCGCCATCTTTGAGTGGGGCACCGCTGCTTCCACCTCTGCTCAAAAGTCTATGGGCAAAAGATTTGGTTGCTATGCAACATATATGCTGCCCTTGTTTTCTAAAAGGAAGATTAGGTTTCTAAAAGGGCTTCAACCTGTGATTTTTCCTATCCCGGTTATCATTCCAGTTAATCCAAATTTTAAAAATTCAGGTCTGTTCCAGTTTTGTTTCCTTGGTCATGACTGAACTGGGAAGAAGTGGTTCAAAGCCCTGGTGCAAACAGGGAAATCAAGTGTTGTTCCAGGTCTAAGTCTAGTGGGTGCAGTCTCCCTAGCTTTCTGGCTGGTGCTGCCTCCATGGGAGCTATCCTGAGCTAGAGTCCCCCACCCCAGGTCAGCAAGCCCCTACCTTGACTGAACAGTCATCACAGGGCAGAAAAAACTGCAAGTTCTACAAGGCCCCAAGAATATATCCGGGACAGGCAGGTCTGAGAAGTTACAAGGCGACAGCTATGGCTTTAGAGAGGGAGGATATTCCTCCCCAGCAGACAGCAACAGAAGGGTAAGACTTGGGGGTGGAGAGCTCCCTGTCACTGGAGGCATTTGAGCATAGGCTGGCTGACAGCCTGGTGGGAATAAGATGTGATACAGTGAGGTGGAAAGAGTGCTAGGTTTTGAATTTAGGCCAGGTTTTGAATTTAGACCACCCCAGGGTCAACTCCTAGATCTGTCACTCTCAAGCTGTGAATTCCTGTGTAAGTGACATCACCCCTCTGAACCTCAGTCTTCACATCCATACAGTGGGGATAAACATAGACTGCACTGTAGTGCAGAGACAATAAAGTAACATGTACAAAGACCTAGAACAGTGGCTACCAGTGGAGATGTTCTACTAGAATCTATCTTTTTTTTGTGGGGGGAGTGTGCAGGAGTTGGTTACAGGGGAGGGTCTAACATGGCACAGACCTTAGCACATGGGCTGCGGAGTCAGACCAATGGGGTTTCAAATCCCAGCTCTATAACTTCCCAACTGTGTGACCCTGAGCAAACCACTGAACCCCCCGAGCCTGTTTCATCATTCACAGACATTCACACCTACTCCAAAAGCTTCTGTGAGGATCAACTGGAAAAAAGGTAAACCCAGGACCCTGTCTAGAGTTTCCTGTATAGCAGAGACGATCATCATTATGGAAACTGGTGATGAACTCTGTTTACTGATACTCCAGTTAGACAGAAAAAGAAATTATTGAAATTCCTATTCCAGCAAGACCATGGGGATGCTAAGGATCAGCCAGTCCCGCCCACCCTGAGGCTGAGTGGGCACAGGGCTGGAAACCAAGGCCCCTGTCCAACCATCAATGACAGCCCATGGGTCCAGGTAGAGTCTTCTGTACAGGCAAGTGGGCTGAGGGCTCTCCTTGGCTTGGCCCTGGCTGGTCCAGTCCCTGGTTGCTCAATGGGTTAAACCCCCAAGCATAGGGCAGATCTGTTTCCTAGTAACAGAGAGGAGTGCCACCACAGCAGAGGTGCCTGTTCCTGCCAGGGAAGAACCCCCCCGGCCCAGAACACCCTCACCCCAGCTTTCTTCACTGCTGATGCTCCAAAGCCCATCCTAAAGCCTTGTGAGCACTTGACCATCCCGTCTGAGTGGACTCGGTATCCCTTCCCTGCTCTCAAGGTTCTTACTAACATCATGGCATCCTGGTGGGGGAGAGGAGCTGCTGAAGTCAGACAGGCTGGGTGTAACCCTCAATGACTCACCCACTCAGTCTGCAACCTTGGGCAAGACTCCTCTCCCTGAGTCTCATTTTCCTCATCTGTTCAAGGGGGAGCAGGATGCTTGCCAGCTGCGGGGGCAGGAGATGCTGCCCATAAGGAGCCTAGTCAGGGAGCTGGCCCAGAGTAAATGTACACAGGCAGCAGCTGCCATTATGAGGACGGTATCGGTTCATCCTCCATGAAGGCCCGAGCCTCCCACCTCTGGGAAGCCTTCCCTGATTGCTTGTGACAGAGGTAACCTGAGTGCCACCTCTACCTGGCACAGGTGACTCTTACAGCAGTTCTCTCTGCATTTCTAATGAACTGATCTCAGCTCACACGTCACCTTTCTGACCCCCTACTCTAGCTTCTAGCACACCACCTTGTTTTATTTCCTTTACAGCCCCAACTGCTATTGACTCCCCCAGGCCATACGTGCCCTAACAGCAGGTGGGGCTCTTGCCAGGCCTGTGCACTGCGGTATTCCCGGCAACCAGAAAGCACCCAGCAGATGCACCATAAATATCTGCTGAATGACTGAAAGAATACTTGCCTCCTTCAGGCCAAGCCTCCTGGCAAGCGGACATTGGGACTTAAGGCTCCTGTGACTCCCCAAGGCCTGCTGAGATGGCCAAGTGGGTCCTTGAGGTGGGTCTGCTGAGTGCACGGTCATTCATCTGCAACAAGCCTAGGCATGAATGCATCACAGGGAGGCCGTCTCCAGAGCCAGGATTTGAACCTGACTCCCCCATCGTTTGTCCTTTCCACTGAACTGCTGGCCTTAGGTCACCTGAAAGTGACCCTTAAAATCTGAGGGTGGGGGCACGGGAGAATGGCTTCCTCCCACTGGAAGGCAGATTCCCCTTAGTTCTTTGCCCACATTCTCCACCCCATACAGTCAGAGGCTGTACTGGCAAATACAGCTATAGCTGGGGGACCAGCCCGACTCCTCATGTAGCCCATGGAAGATGGGCCACGTGAGCCACCCTCTATCACCCACGGTGCACAGCAGCACAGAGCCATCTTCTCCCTTAAACGTGACGCTCCAAGACCTTACCCACCGAGGACATCGGCAACTCCGCTCCCCCGGCTTCCGTGCTTTAGATTTACAAGCCCAAATGTTGTTTTTCTCAGAAGCTCTGCGTTTATTAGGTGTCCTAATAACAATGGAAGCACAGAAGTACTTATATCACTTTGAATTAGTGGTGCAGCTACTTCTAACTTTTTAAAAAATTTTTTTTCATATATCATTTTTTAAAATAGAGCTCATTATTTTAATTATATCCATTTAAATGTACAGTGGAGTACTTGGATAGTCTCAGCACGAATCATTAGGTATATTAGTGAAAAAGCACTTGGAATCTATCTACATGCTGACACTCCATAATCTATTCTATTTGTGTTGCTGTAAAATAGATTTATATATAGATAACCACAAAATAGTTGCTCAAGACATGCTATGAATTTTATATTTAACCCGAGTCACACTTCAACATAAAATCCATAGTCGGGCACTAAAGGGATATTTTTCAGTAAGTACATGCTATCTGTGGTCACAGGTTACTGCTTACACCACTCTGCTGTGACAGAAGCCAAAGAGAGTGGGTCCCTGCCCAAGGAATTCCATAAGGGCTCTGGCCTTTCACTAAGTGGGTTCCTGGAAGGCCTAGGGTCCCAGAGCAAGAGCACCCGTGACGCCTGAATGAGGAAGGTGGTGCTGAGTAGAGCTCCAAGCCCCTACCCCCTCCGTCTTCAATAAGCACAGCTCTGCTTTTTGCCTGATATATGTATTTGGGCCTGTTTCTACACAGTCCCTGCGTGATGTAAACAGTTTGCACTCGGCTACTAACCAAAAGGTTGGCTGTCCAAGTCCACCCAGAGATGCCTTGGAAGAAAGGCCTGGCGATCTACTTCCACAAGATTATAGCCACTGAAATCCCTACGGAGCACAGTTCTACTC